ATTTCCGCTACTTTGAGCTCAGTTTCAAGCCATTTCCAGTGCTAAAACCAATCAAAATCATCTCTATTTCTGTAATATGTCTTCCATTCTATCAAATGAGACCAAGAAATCGCAAATACAACTATAAAAAACATACGAAAAAACACTGCAAAGTTGCTGTTTTAATCAAAAAATCATGATTTCAGTTTTTTTCTCTCATTATACACAGTGTGCTGCAGGATCTGTTTTATGTGGTGCACACATACCACATAGATGTATTCTCTCATATCTAGGCCCAAATGTACCACTCACAGTTTATCAGAGTGAGCTGAGCTCATGGCGTAGATCTACGGTTTGGACACTCACCATAAAGCCGTAGATCTACGGGACGGACCCTGAAAGGGTTAATCCGTGCAAGAGGGGTAATTGTTATGCGAAATAATCGGTATGTGAATGAATTTTCCCCATAAGAAATAATGGAAATCAAATTAATCCGTGCAAGACACCCAAAAGTATGAAAAAAAAATTTTTACCACATGAAATATACATTTTCCCACACACAAAGAGAAGGATACATGCACAATAGTAGAGTAGTACATGCACAGTATATATTGTGCATGTACTAGTCTACTAAATGAAGAATAAATGACACTTACCTTTATTGAAGATGCAGCAATGACTGATGAGACACTGTGTCCTGGGAGTGCCTTTTCCTCCTGAGTACTGTAGGTCCTGTTTGGCATTTTCTTCCAGAACAGGCCTTATCACACTGTGTATGCCACTACGATTCTTAAATCTCTCAAACCAACCTTTGCTGGCTTTAAATTCACCAATATGAGCACTAGTTCCAGGCATTTTTCCCTGTTCACCTGGGTGTTAGTCGACTTGTGTGGGTTGCATCCTGGGAGACAAGATTAAGGACCCCAATGGAAATAAGTTAGTCTTCGATGACACTGACTTTTTTGGGTTATCCTGGGTGGCAAATCCTCTGGGGTTAATTGTTTCTTGGTATTCTCAATAAGCCACACCAACAACAGTGCTACAGCAGCAGCAGCAGCTGACGGTGGTACAGCAGCAACAGACGATGCTACAGCAGCAGCAGACGATGCTACAGCAGCAGCAGACGATGCTACAGCAGCAGCAGACGATGCTACAGCAGCAGCAGCAGCTGTACCACCAATAGTAGCGATGGTTGATTGGGGTTTATTATACAACCTGGCCAGCTCGGAGACACGCACTCCACTTTCATACTTATCAATGATCTTTTTCTTCATCTCTATTGTAATTCTCACCCTTATTGCTGTAGGGTTGGCACTAGAAGCTTTCTTGGGGTCCATGGTCACTTATTTTCCAGAAAAAGCACCGAAAACACTGTAATAATACGAAATATTCCGATTGTATGCTTGGATGTTACCGCGGAGGCTGGCTGGTAAACAATGCCACCGGCGGAACATGTGAGCGTGGCTCAGGCCGCACATTGGACGCGTCTCGGACGAAAATCGGTGAGCGGGTTTTTAAGCGGTATGTGAGGCAAAATTTTTGCGATTAAAGCAAGCGGTATGCGGATTAATCGCTATGTGATGCCATCGGTATGCGGGGGTCCACTGTACATATATTTGTCGTCCTTTTCATGTCCAGTGGCAGCTCGTCCATAGGCGCTGCAGAGCTGCGGTCCCCCGAATGCTCACTGCCAGATGTATGACTTCATCAGCCTTATGCTAAAATAATTTGCAACTGAGAAATATATTACAGGAAAAATCTGTTGTATGTTGTTTTCAATGTGTTTATAAGCAAATTTTTTATTTTTTGTTGAAACGAGATAGAAAAATGAGTAAAAATAGAAGTTTGATGCAGTACGATAGTATAGGTAATACTGGAGTTACATCTGGCAGCAAGGAGCCGCATTCGATGTAACACACACCCAGTTGCAATTAGTCTGTTTACGTTGTCAGTATGCGCACTGTAGCACGTGGCCGGTATTGGTGGTGGTGGCCGTTTAAATTCTTTTCAATAGCATTAAATTTAATTACCATCTGATAAACAATGGCAGTGGAAACTAGAGTAAACTCAGTTAAATATTTACAAAGTATTAAATTTTTGCAGTTGATTTTAACCCTTTCAGGGTTGATGCCGTACTAGTACATCTTGCATGCCAGGGTTGGTGCCGTACTAGTATGCAAAACTTCTAGCACCTTCAAATCTAGCGAGAGAAAGCTGGTAGGCCTACATATGAAAGAATGGGTCTATGTGGTCAGTGTGCACAGTATAAAAAAAATCCTACAGCACACAGTGCGTAATGAGAAAAAAAAGCTCTGACTGTGTTTATGCTTTAAAACAGTGACTTTGTAGTGTATTTTCGTGTGCTATTTATGGTTGTATTCTAGTTTTCCTGTTCTCATTTTATAGAATGGAAGACATATTACAGAAACTGAGATGATTCTGATTGGTTTCACAATGAAAGTACCTCGAAATTGAGCTCAAAGTAGCAGAAATGTTCGATTTTTGCCGAAGTTCAAAAGTAAACAATCATGCCAAGCGTCCAATACACGTCAACTGGCGAGTCTAATATTCTTTCACAAGTGTGCTGATATTATTTATACCTTTTCTACACTAATGCAGTAGTCTGCATAACAGTAAATATTCTATTTTTTTGTGAGAATAAAAATTCAAAATGGAAAGCAAAAGAAATGTAAGAGAGGCCTGGGGATGTGACTAATGAACAGAAAAATTTTTATTTTAGTGCCAGGAATGGCTGTCTTATTTATTCTGGACCCTATTTAGAAATTGGCATCTTTTGAAATTTGTGTGAAATTGACAAAATTGCCAATTTCTGACCACTTTATTGGATAATTGAAATCTGAAAATGGGTGGTTTCTTGTACTCATTCGATAGAAAAAATGGAGTTCTAGTGAAATAGTTATGATTTTTATAGACTTGTACATTGGAATTGGCCAAAAATAGGGATCAAGGTGGGCGAAATCGCCGATGTGTAAACATCATAGAGACCGCTAACCTCGCGAGAGCATAATTCCGTAAGTTTTTCATCAAGTTTCACACTTTTGGTGTCATTATAATCGGGAAAAGATTCTCTATCATTTCATAAGAAAAAAATCTTTTTTTTTTTCTTTTAAATTTCTGACCCTGAGAACAAGTTTAGGAGAGGGCCTGCTGACCTTGAAAGTGTTAAGTGAAAAAGTAAAGATAAAAGAAAAAGGATGACATACACCATCTTTATCCAGTCTACAAAAAAACACAAGCAGGAGCAAAGAATATACATGCCAGTTTAGCGTCAAAGAATATACGTGCCAGTTTAGAATCAAAGAATATATGCGCCAGTTTAGCATCAGTGTTTACCAGAAAAGTGAATGACTCTGTGGTTGTGATGAAAAGAACACTTTATTCTGTTTTCCATGCTTACTATTTGGTGGAGACTCTTCATGGGCAAAAAGTAGCTTGACTGACTTGAGGCATTTACCACAAATAGTAATGAAACATGAGTAGTCAACCAAGCATATAAATAATGTTATTGATTTGTCAATGCTGGGTAAACTGAACAATGAAGCTCAAATTGATTCAGCATACAAGATTTCGACAGCGAAACACAATTTCAAATACAGTAGTTGTAACATTATCACCTCAGCTAGCCACGTCTCCACCAGGAGGACTGTGATGACCTCTACAGTTACGTATATGTGAACGCTTTTCATTATTAAATTTAGTTTAATTTAAAAAAAATTACTTTAATAATATTTATTATGCTGTTGTATGAGGCTTGCAGTTACTCACTCCCCCCATCCTATTTTTTGACGAGCTACCACTGTTCAGGTAGCCAACTGGGTTACTCATTGCACAAGCCTTTATCTTCACGTCATTCTTTTTAACTGTGTGAACAGATGTCTCATTCAGGTAATAGGCTCAAGCCATCTCCATCACATATGCACCACTCCAAGCTTATTTTAATATCTTGATTTTTTTTGAAACACCAAAACTTTCACTCTCATGCCTCTTCTTTGCTCTTCCAGGAACACTCACATTCCACTTGGTGCCATGGTTACTATCCAGAGTTGAGATGTGACGATGAAAAGATCAAGTCGATTCATTAATACAGGCTGAGAATGGCACTGGAGGTGCACCAATGAACTGGGTGAGGGAAGTTGTGTATGTTACGTAGGTCAAGCTGTGATGGATATGCGAGTCAGCAGACCATCAGTAGAAACAACCTAGTTGACCAAGCAAGCACCAGATGAGCCAGGTGTATGGCCAGGCTCAGGAAGGTATATCAAAAGCATCCCCATAAGACAATGGAGTCACTCAGAGGTTTACAGCACATGCCACATTTTTCCCAACATGTTCCACCATGAAAAACAATATTTACAGCACATTTGCAGAAAATATACAGCAATTTTGCAACCTTGTTACACTGAAAACATGCTAACAGACTGCGTGTTATCCGACAGTCTACTGTAGTTAATATTTACCACGGAGATCTGATACCAAGGTGTAGAAGATGGTAGAGAAACAAATAACAACCATGTAATGAAAGGAAGATGGGTGGGTACTCTAAAAACCCTAGTGAATAACAAGTTAAATGCTTAGTTCACTTTTATCCACTCAGTATCTTTCAGTGAGTGGAGGATCAATCCTATATAAACTAAATGTAGTCCAGTCAATGCCATTCAGGGCATCAGTTATGTCTGGAGACAATACTACATAATGCCACCTCCCTCAGAACAGAGATTACAAAGGAAATTAGTATTATTATTATTACATCATGGGGAGCACTAAACCTGTAGGTCTACAGTGCCTGTGGCATGGGAGGCATGCAGGTTCAATTCAAGGAACTGGAGTACATTTCAATTCCTTGGATCAAGAGCCCCTCACCAGTATCAATGAAGCTACCTTGAGAGATTCACAAAAAAAAAAAAAAAATACCAAAAATAAAGAAAATATAAAATATATTACACAATTAGTTAATACAATAGAGACTACAGTATATTGAGTTGAAGTCTTGTTGACATTACCCTCAATCCAAACTTCAGTGTTTACAACCGATTGTGTAGGAGGCCAAGCTGATCTGATGTGATATTCAATAAAAATTGAATATTTCCAGGGTAAAACAAGCACCAGCTGAAAATAAAAAAAAAACACATTATAACTCTGGGAAAGAGCTGAATTCTCAAAACAGAATTCATACAAGAAAAAATGCCAACATTTTAATGTCAGTGGTAAATCCCCGCCCTTCATACAAAATACTGAAAAATACATATGGGATTAACTCCTTAACTGGGCAAAAGAACACAGACCTCCCACCAAGGCAGAGTGACCCAAAAAAGAAACACTTTCACCATCATTCATACTATCACTGTCTTGCAAGAGGCACATAGATACAAAAGCTCAGATGTCCCTGCAAACAGCAAATATCCCAAGTCCCTCCTTAAGAGTGCAGACATTGTACTTTCCACCTCCAGGACTCCAGTCCAACCAACCGGTTTCTCTGAATCCCTTCACAAAATATTACCCTGCTTACACTCCAACAGCTTGTCAGGGTCCATACACCATTTGTCTCCACTCACTCCTATCTATATCCTATCCTAACAAAAGTAATATAAAATATTTTTGCATTAATAAATACTTGTTAATGGTTCTAGTTATCATCACTCCCTTATACATGTATAGCCAAGTCTCAAGCCACACTTACATTATAAAGGAAATATTACTGCAATAAGAACTATTAAGAAACACACAGGAAATTAAGATACAAGTCCAGGGGCACAGCCAGTCATCCCAGGCCCAGGGACTAGGCACAGTGCCAGGCAACCCCCCAACCCTCCCTCTCTGTCCATCAAAAATATAAAAAAAATTCTCACATTCATAAGGTGCAGTGTGTGTTACATTGTCTCAAATCCAATATAACAGACTCACACATTCCTGCTGGATGTTAAATTCCTCACAAGTTAAAAGTCTCGACTCCTTAATCCCAACTTTTCTTGCAGTGTCCTCAACAATGTCCTCAAAATTCATGTTTGTAATGAAACAAAATGCAACCATTTCTTTTTAATTTATATTTGTGATCACAATACTTAAATACGGGAGCAAGGGGCTAGTAACCTCTTCTCCTGTATATATTACTAAATGTAAAAGGAGAAACTTTCGTTTTTCCTTTTGGGCCACCCCGCCTCGGTGGGATACGGCCGGTGTGTTGAAAGAAAGAAAGAATACTTAAATAATAAAGTAGTAGACTCAAAGATTCAAAAAATATGTATTGTGCAACAAATAAGCCCCACAGTGAAAATAACTGTGACAATAGCAGATAAATGGACACAGCACAACTCAAAATTTGAAACACAAAAACTATAGTACAGTAATATAAAATCAGATTAAAAACTATTTTATCTACTATTCGAAAGGCATTCATCGGCTTTATGGCTAGAGAAACAAATCAATAATGCCATCACAATTCTTTCCTTGCCACACAAGTTTCTATTGCCAAAATATCTGAACTATTTAATCAACTCTGACACACAGCTGATCTCAGCTGTGTGTACTCTTTCCAGAGCACTAAAAGAGAGTTCACCCTCTACAAACATAACTGAATGAGTGAACAATATCCTCAGTACAATGTGCACATTTAGAAATAAAGCTTTATAATTAAAATGATATAAAATGTTAAGTTTCCCACCAAGGTATGGCGGCCTGAAAAAGAAAATCTTATCATTCACTCCATCACTGTCTTGCCAGAGGCACACTTACACTACATTCACACCCCACCTTCAGAGTGCAGGCACTGCACTTCCCATCTCCAGGTATCAAGTCCGGCCTGCCAGTTTCCCTGAATCCCTTCATGAACATTACCTTGCTCACATTCCAACAGCATGTCAAGTCCTAAGAACCATTTGTCTCCATCTCCATCTAACATGCTCATGCATGCTTTATGGAAGTCCAAGCCCTCACACACAAAACCTCCTTTAAATGCTTTAATTCATTTACTAGATCCTCAGATACATCTATGCTATATTTCATATACAAACTTCCAGCCTTTCCGGTTACATCGCTGACACTCAAAACAGGATATATTTCCCACAAGAAATCTGAAATGTGATTCCAGCTCTCATGCTGTCTTCTCATGTTTCCAATAATGTGATCTGAAACAAAATAATCTGGTGAACAGGTTTTCTGAACTCATTTCTGCCATTTTCTTGCTATTTGTTTCATCTGCAAACTACTTCTAATCCTCTTTTTTTGATATCAAAGCTGTTTTCCTTACTCATGAAATTGGAATAACACAATTACAAACAAACCACAGAACAGGTGAGGTTTAAACCCATGGCAAATGAGTTGTAAAACTCCAGGTCAGTTTTACAATTCACTCCCAATGGGTTCAAATTCCACCCATTTCGAGGTCTGTTTTCAGTAACATACATTTTGACAAGATTACATCCCAATTACACGTACCATCCGACTTACGACCTGCTCGACTTACAACCACTCGACTTACGACCGTGTTTTTTATGCCAAATTTCTGGGAAATAAACAACTATTTGTGTTGTACACAGTGTTTATCCTAAACCTTACAGTATAAAATACAGTACTAACAACATAAAAAGTAAAGTAAAACATGAAATACCAAAGTAAAACAATAAAATAAAGTCATTACAGAAATGTTTTGTTGATATTCAGTAGTAAAGTTCGACTTACGACCATTTCGACTTACGACCGGTTTCGCGGAACCGAACTCGGTCGTAAGTCGGATGGTAGGTGTATTTCTTAAATAAACAGAATCCTGTATTAAGCTTCCCAAATTTTTTACTCTTTGTCTACATTATTGACTTTCTGACTAACTTACTTATTTGGTTAAAAGACACCTTTTAACCAAACCAAGACCATAATGATGTACTCAAAAGATTTTGAATAGATAAGAATGCCACAAAAATCCGAACAAGCCTCACTAAGATTAGATCCTAAAACATTTCAGTTGTTTTTATTATTAAAGATAGGCAACAGCAAGCAATCTAATACACTCAACCCTGGCTGACAAACATGTCAAGCAACCTAACACTCAACCCTGGCTGACAAACATGTCAAGCAATCTAATACACTCAACCCTGACTGACAAACATGTCAAGCAACCTAACACTCAACCCTGGCTGACAAACATGTCAAGCAATCTAATACACTCAACCCTGACTGACAAACATGTCAAGCAACCTAACACTCAACCCTGACTGACAAACATGTCAAGCAATCTAATACACTCAACCCTGACTGACAAACATGTCAAGCAACCTAACACTCAACCCTGGCTGACAAACATGTCAAGCAATCTAATACACTCAACCCTGACTGACAAACATGTCAAGCAACCTAACACTCAACCCTGGCTGACAAACATGTCAAGCAACCTAACACTCAACCCTGTCTGACGAACATGTTAGACATATTACACAGGGAGCAACCTATAATCTCAGTTTATTTATATAATACAGTATAAAAGGGCATCCCTAAAAAGCATAGACTGGGGAAATGACCCTGACTCTTCCTTCCTCCCCTGACTACACCCTTATACTTTTATTTTTTTTTTTCAACAAGTCAGCCGTCTCCCACCGAGGCAGGGTGACCCAAAGAGAAAGAAAATCCCCAAAAAGAAAATACTTTCATCATCATTCAACACTTTCACCTCACTCACACATAATCACTGTTTTTGCAGAGGTGCCCAGAATACAACAGTTTAGAAGTATATGCGTATAAAAATACACAATATATCCCTCCAAACTGCCAATATCCCAAACCCCTCATTTCCAGGACTCAAGTCCGGTTATATAAAATAACCGGTTTCCCTGAATCCCTTCGCTAAATATTACCCTGCTCACACTCCAACAAATCGTCAGGTCCCAAATACCATTTGTCTCCATTCACTCCTATCTAACATGCTCACGCACTCTTGCTGGAAGTCCAAACCCCTCGCCCACAACACCTACTTTACCCCCTCCCTCCATCCTTTTCGAGGACGACCCCTACCCCGCCTTCCTTCCCCTTACAGATTTATACGCTCTCCATGTCATTCTATCTTGATCCATTCTCTCTAAATGACCAAACCACCTCAACAAACCCTCTTCAGCCCTCTGACTAGTACTTTTATTAACTCCACACCTTCTCCTAATTTCCACACTCCGAATTTTCTGCATAATATTTACACCACACATTGCCCTTAGACAGGACATCTCCACTGCCTCCAACCACCTCCTCGCTGCAGCATTTACCTTTATACATGTATACTAAATGCAAACAGAAGTAAGGGTTACCTGCTTACACCCTTATACTCGTATATTGAAGGTAAATAGAAGTGAGATTTACCTGTCTACAGCCCAATACATGTATACTGAATGTAAACAGAAGTAAGACTTACCTGCCTACACCCCCATAAATGCATACTGAATGTAAAGAGAAAACTTACCTGCCATCTTGCATGTTCAAAAGACATGGAAATGTTCATCAATCCTGCAAGACTGCAAAACATTTAACTATCTTCATGCTTATATACAAAGTTAGCAGAAGAGCATCTCCCTGGATACCTACTAAGTCTTAATTTGTTAAATTAAGTGATGAACAAAACTTCTAGTGGCCAACTACAAAACAAATAATAATTTTGTAAAAAATGAACCATTGTTGTATGGAATAAGAGAGGATGAAAATGGTTACAAACTAACCTGTATCTGGTCATCAACAATGGTAACCTTCTTGATTGCATAGCCTTCTCTTAGCCGGCATGACAACAGAGCATTAAGAGCTAAGTTTAGCTGATTCTCTCTTTCCTTCTTCCTCATTAGCTCTGTAGCTTCTTGAGCTACTGGCAGTAGGCTGTAAAATCTGAAATATTGACATTACAAACTTAATAATCATTTTTTTTTTTCAACAAGTTGGTCGTCTCCCACCGAGGCAGGGTGACCCAAAAAAGAAAGAAAATCCCCAAAAAGAAAATACTTTCATCATCATTCAACACTTTCACCACACTCACACATTATCACTGCTTTTGCAGAGGTGTTCAGAATACAACAGTTTAGAAGCATATACGTATAAAGATACACAACATATCCCTCCAAACTGCCAATATCCCAAACCCCTCCTTTAAAGTATGATTACCACTGACAATGCTTACAAATGTTCTTTTGTGTGACATACAGTAGAAACCCCCCTATCCACAGATTCAGTTTCTGCGGTTTCAGTTATCCATGGTTTACCGTGGCCCGATAATAACCCTAAATTTTGCTTAATAATGGCCACAAAGTGCAAAAGTAGTGATGCTGACAGTTCTTCAAAGCCTAAGACAAGAGAAGCCGTGAAGTGCTTCCCATCAGTGAAAAAGTACTAATTCTTGATTTTTTTTTTTAATAAGTCGGCCATCTCCCACCTAGGCAGGGTGACCCAAAAAGAAAAAAAATCATCAGAATGAAAATACTTTCATCATTCAACACTTTCACCTCACTCATACATAATCACTGTCTTTGCAGAGGTGCCAGATACAACAGCTTAGAAGCATATAAAAATGATACAATATAAAAAGTGACCTAAAATAATATAAACTCCATATAGAATATAATATCAGACCCCCAATTATATATATACTATCCTATTACACATCCCTCCAAACTGCCAATATCCCAAACCCCTCCTTTAAAGTGCAGGCATTGTACCTAACATTTCCAGGTCTCAAGTCCTGCTATATAAAAATAACCAGTTTCCCTGAATCCCTTCACTAAATATTACCCTGCTCACACTCCAACAGCTCGTCAGGTCCCAAGAACCATTCGTCTCCATTCACTCTTATCTAACATGCTCACGCACACTTGCTGGAAGTCCAAGCCCCTCGCCCACAAAACCTAATATACTCCCTCCCTCCAACCTTTTCGAGGACGACCCTTACCCAGCATTCCTTCCCCTACAGATTTATACACTATGTCATTCTACTTTGATCCATTCTCTCTAAATGACAAAACCACCTCAACAACCCCTCTTCACCCCTCTAATACTTTTATTAACTTCACACCTTCTAATTTCCACACTTCAAATTCTCTGCATAATATTTACACCACACACTGCCCTTAGACAGGACATCTCCACTGCCTCCAACCGCCTCCTCGCTGCAGCATTTACAACCCAAGCTTCACACCCACATAAGAGAATTGGTACTACTATACTTTCACACATTCCCTTCTTTGCCTCCACTGATAACGTTAACCTCATCCTTCATAAACCCATCTGCTGGCACATCAACTCCCAAATACTATCTGAAAACTTTCACTCCTTCCATACTCCTTCTCTCCAATGTGATATCCAATTTTTCTTTATCTAAATCATTTGATACCCTCATCACCTTATGCTTATCTATGTTCACTTTCAACTTTCTACCTTTACACACCCTCCTAAACTCATCCACTAACCTTTGCAACTTTTCTTTAGAATCTCCCATAAGCACAGTATCATCAGCAAAAAGTAACTGTCGACTCCCATTTTGTATTTGATTCCCCATAATTTAACCCCACCCCTCTCCCGAACACCCAAGCATTTACTTCTTTTACAACCCCATCTAAAAATATATTAAACAACCATGGTGACATTACACATCCCTGTCTAAGACCTACTTTTACCGGGAAGTAATCTCCCTCTCTTCTACACACCCTAACCTGAGCCTCACTATCCTCATAAAACCTCTTTACAGAATTTAGTAACTTACTACCTATTCCACATACCTGCAACATCTGCCACATTGTTCCCCTATCCACTCTATCATATGCCTTTTCTAAATCCATAAATGCAATGAAAACTTCCCTACCTTTATCTAAATACTGTTCACATATATGCTTCAATGTAAACACTTGATCTACACATCCCCTACCCACTCTAAAGCCTCCTTGCTCATCTGCAATCCTACTCTCTGTCTTACCTCTAATTCTTTCAATTATAACCCTACGTTACACTTTTCCTGGTATATTCAGTAAACTTATTCCCCTAAAATTTTTACAATCTCTTTTGTCCCCCTTCCCTTTATATAAAGGAACTATAGAAGCTCTCTGCCAATCCCAAGGTACCTTCCCCTCTTTCATACATTCATTAAACAAAAACACCAACCACTCCAACACTGTGTCCCCCCCTGCTTTTAACATTTCTGTGATGATCTTGTCAGTTCCTGCTGCTTTACCCCCTTTCATACTACGTAATGCCTCACGCACCTTCCCCACATTCACATCCTGCTGTTCTTCACTCCTAAAAGATGTTATACCTCTCTGGCCAGAGCATGGAATGACCACCTCCCTTTCTTCAGCGACATTTAAAAGTTCCTCAAAATATTCCCGACATCTACCCAATACCTCCAGCTCCCCCTCTACTAATTCCCCCACTCCATTTTTAATTGACAAATCCATTCGTTCCCTAGGCTTTCTTAATTTGTTTATCTCACTCCAAAAGTTTTTCTTGTTTTCATCAAAATTTCTTGACAGTGCCTCTCCCACTATATCTGCTCTCTTTTTGCACTCTCTCACCACTCTCTTCACCTTTCTTTTACTCTCCATATGCTCTACTCTTCGTGTAATACTTCTGCTTTGTAAAAACCCTCTCATAGGCTACTTTTTTCTCTTTTATCACACCCTTTACTTCATCATTCCACCAATCACTCCTCTTTCCTCCTGCACCCACCCTCCTATAACCACAAACTTCTGCCCCACATTCTAATACTGCATTTTTAAAACTATTCCAACCCTCTTCAACCCTCCCCTCACTACTCATACTCGCACTAGCCCACGTTTCTGTCAAATGTTGCTTATATATCACCCTAACTTCCTCCTCCCTTAGTTTATACACTTTCACCTCTCTTACTTGTTGTTTCCATTTTCCTTTACTCCCATCTACCTCTTACTCTAACTGTAGCTACAATTAAATATTATTATTATTATTATTATTATTATTATCATCACACTGGCCGATTCCCACCAAGGCAGGGTGGCCCGAAAAAGAAAAACTTTCACCATCATTCACTCCATCACTGTCTTGCCAGAAGGGTGCTTTACACTACAGTTTAAACTGCAACATTAACACCCCTCCTTCAGAGTGCAGGCACTGTACTTCCCATCTCCAGGACTCAAGTCCGGCCTGCCGGTTTCCCTGAACCCCTTCATAAATGTTACTTTGCTCACACTACAACAGCACGTCAAGTATTAAAAACCATTTGTCTCCATTCACTCCTATCAAACACGCTCACGCATGCCTGCTGGAAGTCCAAGCCCCTCGCACACAAAACCTCCTTTACCCCCTCCCTCCAACCTTTCCTAGGCCGACCCCTACCCCACTTTCCTTCCACTACAGACTGATACACTCTTGAAGTCACTCTGTTTCGCTCCATTCTCTCTACATGTCCGAACCACCTCAACAACCCTTCCTCAGCCCTCTGGACAACAGTTTTGGTAATTCCGCACCTCCTCCTAACTTCCAAACTACGAATTCTCTGCATTATATTCACACCACACATTGCCCTCAAACATGACATCTCCACTGCCTCCAGCCTTCTCCTCGCTGCAACATTCATCACCCATGCTTCACACCCATATAAGAGCGTTGGTAAAGCTATACTCTCATACATTCCCCTCTTTTCCTCCAAGGACAAAGTTCTTTGTCTCCACAGACTCCTAAGTGCACCACTCACCCTTTTCCCCTCATCAATTCTATGATTCACCTCATCTTTCATAGACCCATCCGCTGACACGTCCACTCCCAAATATCTGAATACATTCACCTCCTCCATACTCTCTCCCTCCAATCTGATATCCAATCTTTCATCACCTAATCTTTTTGTTATCCTCATAACCTTACTCTCTCCTGTATTCACTTTTAATTTTCTTCTTTTGCACACCCTACCAAATTCATCCACCAATCTCTGCAACTTCTCTTCAGAATCTCCGAAGAGCACAGTGTCATCAGCAATTAAATAATGATCCGATATATCAGTTGCCCCTCTTTAAACATGTACATCCTGAAGCCTACCTATCAACCTTTTATCCACCAATATACTTCATGTGTAATCCCATCCTTACTTATCACTCCATGACCCCAGTACAACCATCACTTAGTAACAATGGTAGAATTAACAACAGAATTTTAGGTAAATGGACACAGATGCATGTTTAATAAATCTCAAGTTATTTTATTTGGTATGTGGGGGTGGCATATTTTATGTGGTCACTCCCTGATATTAGAACCTAGATATGCCCCTGGAACAATGCCCATGATCAAGTTCTGGAGGCAAATTCTGACATGCAAATAGTATTAATAACAAAAAATCTCTACCCAATGCCACCCCCTCTTTAAAAAAAAAAATCCAAAAAGGATATTTACAGGAGAGCCCGGGATATTCGGCACACTCTTTTCAGTGTTCCACACTTTCGTTGGCTTTCAACTGAGCCACTGTTCATTATGTTTGTGGCTTTTACCGCTTTTCCGCTGCTTTCACACAAGAGTTACAAGAGGGAAGGGCGACCAGCAAAATATATTAAGATAAGTATTGTATGTACTGTGCATTTATTTGACTTTTTTATCTTTTTTTTAATGCCTAGTTGTATTGAGCACTTTATACATGATAGTGTAAACACAGTATCAGGCATTTCAGATGCATTCAATAATGAAAAAACTGCTCTCTCTTCCACCAGCCGACAATTTTTACTTATAACACAAGGTGAGGAACCTAAGAGCCGTACAAACAGGGCTCTCCTGCACTAACATGTAGATAACTAGTCAATAATACTCTGTAATTAATAACAGCTCACCTGGAGGAGCCTTAGAAGAAGTGACATGCAATGAAAGAAACAAATTATATATTATCT